TTTGGGAGACCAAGATCAACCAGGCTGCCCCACCCTCCTCTGTGTTATACATAATGGGTTTCTGTGTTATATATACTGGGTTTCTGCATAAGATTTTGTTTAAGGAAAAATTTTATACTCTTAATATCATAAGATTTATTCAAGGGGACATTTATCCAACAGATTGATTTAGAAGGTCTGGAGAGGAGCCCAGCTTGGTTGAGCGTGTGCCTTAGGCTCAGGTCATGATCCCGGGGTGGGGGGGGGCGGTCCTGGGATCAAGTACTGCATCAGGCTCCCCCTAGGGAGCCTGCTAATCCCTCTGCCTATGTCTCTGCCCCGTCTTTCATGAATAAATAAATAAAATCTTTAAAAAAATAAAATAAAATAAAAATCCCAAATGATTCTGATCATCAGCCAGACTTGCAAACCATGGATCTACACCAACTTCTTCATTTTACATATAATGAGACCCTCTGAAAGAGATCTGAGGCCTGCTTAGAGTCCTTTATTACCAGAATGGGAATTCACCTTGCCTGCCTCCTATTTCATCTTTCAGTAGCACCTTGTTAACCAGCAGTGCAGAGTTGGCCCTTGTTCCTTTATTATTTTTTATCTTTTTATTATTTTTAAATTTTCATTTATTTTTTTTAGGGGCCATACAGAGGGAGAGGTTTAGAGAGAGAATCCCAAGGAGGCTCCACACCTGCAGCTTGGAGCTTGACACAGGGCTCAGTCTTACGACTCAGATCATGACCTGAGCCGAAACCAAAAGTTGGACACTCAACCAACTTGAGCTGCCCAGGCACCCTATGTCTCACTTATATATATATATCATTATTTTACATATACATAAGAAGTTACTGTTGTTTTAAGTTCATAATTTTCATTAATGACTTGTGTGGCGAATGCAGATTTTTTTTTTTGCTTCCACATGTAATCCTAACCTTTCTAATCATACAACCAATATCTATCTGAATATATTTTTCTTAAAATGTCACAGAACTCTAAAAGTGTTCACTTTAGGTACTAGTATTGGGTTTTATTAGGCTGTTGGTGATAATACAAAAGCATATGATACATTTATGTTTATAAGTAAGATAAATGTAAGACATGAAATTTTATTATATCCTTTGTGTTGATATATGACCTCTTCAGGTTTAATATCTAACCCCTCAAGTGAATTGAATTCCTCCTCTACCTAATGAAAATGGTGTCTCTGCCTTTATTTTCTGTCCTTTTCCTTGCTTTTTAAGCCCAAAGTATTTATTGACTATCCTTATTTTTACAAGATGAATTAAAATAATTAGTTTAAAAATTGCTACATGGACATTTTACAAAATAATGATGCTTCCTTTTCAAAGCTGTCAAGGTTGAGAAAGGCACAGACTATCCAGATTAAATATGAAATATGATCTATGAAAACGAAATGCAATGTGTGATTCCTGGACTGGATCCCAGATAGGAGAAAGAAAGAATTGGGATAATTGATAAAATTTGAAATGATTACACCATAGTATTTTGTAATTTTTTTATTTTGATGGCTGTATTACAGTTATGTAAAAGAATATTAGCAGGTACACACTGACATTTAGAGGGGAAGGGCTCAATATTTCTAATTTACTCAAATGATTCAGAAAATAATTATATACATACAGAATGATAAAGCATGTGGGACAAAAGGTAAGAAGTTGATGAATCTGGGTGAAGGGAAATTCCTTGTACTATTCTTGCAACTTTTCCAGAAGTTTGAAATTATATCAAAATCAGAGTTAGCCCCCCAAAGTGCTGTATGAGGGAATTTCATATAGAACTAGTTGACTTGATTACTGTCTCAAATGTTTACCTACTTTAAAGCATCAAACTACTTTTTTAAAAAATATGAGTGGGTGAGGTGTGGTATAACTTCTTTCTCCTGAGTCATTTGCTTTGTAGTGATGTATTTCTTATTCCCAAGTATTAAATTCTAGATTCCCATTTTGAAACACAAAGACATATTTACCAAAAACATGATTTACTTTAACAATATCATCAAGTGTTTCCTTTCAACTGTTAGAAAAACAAGAAACATCTTGCTAATTCTTTGCTGCTTCGTTTTGTTAATTCTGATATTACCAAAATGTCTAGTCATGCTCTGTTGTTCTTTATGGTAGCATGAGTAGGTAATAGCATATATACTTCTTGGCTTATCTGGAAACATTTTTATTTTTTCTTGATTTAATAACCAAAACAGTTTTATAGGTAGAGCTCATTTACTTAGTAGTACCAGCCATCAGAAACTATTCTCTAGACATTCATTTTGGGAGTGCCTGGGTGGCTCAGTCAGTTAAGTGTCTACCTTCAACTCAGGTCGTGATCCCAGGGTCCTGGAATCCAGTCCCCCATCGGGTTCTCTGCTCCTCAGAGAGCTTGCTTCTCCTTCTTTCTCTCTCTCTCTCTCTCTCTCTCTCTCTCTCTCTCTCTCTCTCATAAATAAGTAAAATCTTTAAAGATAATAAATAAATAAGCATTCATCCTGGCAATGCCTTCTACCAGCAACAAGATTATCCATGTTCTGAAAACATTTGTTGACAAATTATGAGGTGTCGGGCACCATGCTAGGCACTGGGAATATAGTGATTAATAAGAGGGAAATTTGGTTAACAGTTCCAGGGGAACTGCTGTTCCATTCTAAGAATTCCTCTGGTGGCTATAGAGTTAATGGAAGAAGTCCGAAAACAAGAAAGATAAAGGTACACAGATGAAGTATTTGGATAAATGTAGGCAGTGACAAAATTTATATTTAAAATGTTAAAATATTGTGTTGGGGAATATGACAGTCCTAGGTGCATTTCCATAGTTGTCTTAGTGACACTTTTATGTTACATATTAAAAATGGCCCCAGTTTAAAGCAGGAATCAGTGCCTATTCAGGTCTCTGATAACGTGATTTATTAGCTTTGTTATAAAAGATACTTGAATAGTGCTTATGTTCTCCACCTATATTGTACAAATCGGACTCCCACTCCCATCAGTCCTTTTTGTAACAAGAGTGATCTTTTGCCTTTCAAACACATTATGCATGAGTGGATTGTATGCCATATTGTATTTGCACTCATGTTTAAATATTGCTCTAGGCACCAGATTTTGGATACCGAGTTGAGACTTGTTTCTTATACTCTATTTCAGAGTATCCAAAGGTAACTCTGGCTTAAGGAAAAATTTTACAGATAAGGAACTCTTACACCACTGCTCTCTCATTTTTTGACTCAGTGCTAAGTAGGAGGAAGATTCTGAGAATACTAAAATATTTCAAAGAAATATACATAAGAATATGAAGAGAACTATACCGGAAATGTTTTCAAATGTTCTAAGAAAGATTTAATGCAGTGAAACCTTGGCAATCTAGAACTTACAGAGAGTGAATCATTCCAGATAGCTGAGGGTTTATCCATTTGAATACCAGCAATTTAAAATATTCTCAGAGTACTAATACCATGCTTTCTATAGTATTCAGTATATTGCTTAATCTTTTATTTATAGATGATTCCCATCCTTATGAAAATTAGTCATTGTATTAGCACAGTGATCACTGCTGTGTATAAAAGTATGTGCCGATACAACAAAGATTGTCAGAAAAATCAAAACAAAGCATTTTTTTAAAAAGGTGAGAAGTATTATGAGGCGACGTCTTTTTCCAAAATTGTTTTAAAGAATAGCAGTGATTCAGGGGTTTGTTTTGGGACTTCTGCTTGGTTATGTTTGGGATCAGTAGTATGTTTGTTTTGTATATTTGGCATGATTTTATCAATTCTTTGTCGTGTTCCTATGTCTTCTCTTATTGTCAGTCTGTTGACTGTCATCTCCCAGGACTTGTGCTGCCTCTAACGGGGAGTTTAAGCATTTCTTTAAAAGGGTCTCGTTTCAGGGGCCAGCCACGTTATTATCACCATACATCATCAGCCCATTTTGCCTGGTCATTAGAGCACTTGGATGAACAGAGCAGAAAGGGGAAAGGATGGTATTACCCTCTCATTCAGTTCCATGAGCCTCCCTGTTTCCCTGTCTCTTGTCTCCAGGAAGCTGAAAGGTTCAGACATTTTATTTTGGAGAGACTAAGAGAGACAAACCAAGAAGGATGCTGGAGGAGTGACACAAAGTTTCTTGAAGGTTCTGTTTTGTTTTGCTTTCGAAAAAGGAATTTGGTTTTGCTTTCTTTGTTTTCCTATGACAACCAAGGAAATGGTTAGGAGGGAGCTGCTGCTCACTTTACCATAAAAGTTGTCAGTACATCATAGCAGAATTCTAAAAGACACACAATTCACCTTAAATCTGTAATAAAATTTGAATTTGAAAGAAAAGTCTGATTTGCAGCACTCTTTTAATTAGTGAATGGGCGTTAACAGAAATCAATCAGTTTTCGTGACTCTAAGACAGGAATTCTGAGTCAGACTCTTAGTTCCTTCTCGTTAAAACTGTTACTGTATGTCTCTAAAACTTTCTGGTATGTATTTGAACAACTTGATTGAAATTAACCTGTAGCTCCCATCTGTTCCATTAAATATCTTCCTAAACACTGATCTTATTCTTGGTGATTTCTAGTCATATTTCTGTTTTATGTATTTTAAATATGTATTGACCTACTTCATATACCTGTCATATTTAATAACCATATAGTTTTTAATGTGTAACTAAAATAAATTTTGGTCAGTGGGTACATGGGCTGTTTTCTCCACTATAGTTTCATTAACGTCAATCTTAGGTAAGCACAGTAATTAAGAAAGAATGAATACTTTCACATATAGCAACAGAATTTTTATCAGAATTCATTGCAACCCTCAGGTTTCTGTTTTGGGTGATACATATTGCAACATTTGAACTTTCTCCATGTCCACATTTCCTGCTTGGGAGACAGACCAGGTTTAACCTGTTAAAGCTGTTAAACCCATTTACCTCACCACAGATTCTCAAAAGGTATCACAGATTATTTCTTCTTCTCTTTTGACCCTTCCTGATTACTGTTGGATTTCTTTTTTGGAATAGATGGGGAAAAAAAGAATCAAGTGATGATTCATGGAATTGAGCCAATGTTGGAAACACCTCTGCAGTGGCTGAGTGAACATCTGAGCTACCCAGATAATTTTCTTCATATTAGTATCATCCCGCAACCAACAGACTGAAGGATCAACTCTATGCCTGAACGGAATCACCCTTAAACAGGATTTACCAGAGCATGTCACCCTTCTGCTTCAGTCAGGTTTGGTGGAGGCAACCTGACCAGAAACACTACTGCAAGCCAAACAGGAAGATGATTCCATGTCAGATAAGGGCACTTGGGCTGGTCTTACTTTGCATCACCACTGCTTTCCTCCACTGCCGTCATTAAACCTCAGCTGCGACATGAAAGGCTTCACAGGACCACTGCAAGTCTTCTGTTTTCTTGTAAAATATAATGAAGCCGAAACCTTTGGCCTAAGAAGAAAATGGAAATATGTGCCACTTGATTTGTATTTCTGATTAACAAATAAACAGGGGTATTTCCTAAGGTGACCATGATTGAACTTGAGCTCGAGGGAGTGGAAACATTGGTTTAATTTTCTAGAGAATTAGACTTAAGAAAGTAAAAGAGAAATTCTGTTATCAATAACTTGCAGTAATTTTTTGTAAAAGATCCAATTACAGTAAACCCATCTTTCCTTAATGAAAATTTCCTATGTTTACAGTCTGTCTATTGGTATGCAAACAATCTTGTAACTTTGATAATGAACAGTTGAGAGATTTTTAAATAAAACCTCTAAATATGTTTTGTCATTTAATAACATACAATTTTGTCACTTTTCCAGTACTTTCTGACTCACATACAGTAGATCACTGTTTTTACTCTGTGTTACCATTCAGGCGGGTCGTCATTGACATGGAGTGGATGGAGGGCATAGGATAACTTGTCTCAGGAGCTGTCATAGAATTTCCTGCTGCCAGTTTTTAAATCTATGTTCTTTACATGATAAAGGTATACATGTTATCATTTATCTTTGCTGTTTTATCACTGTAAACCTGTCAAATCATAGTATGTTTAAGCATCTGTATAAAGATAATCTTGCATTTTTTTGGAAAAAAAAAAAAAACGGTCCTTTGCAAGCTAGTGTTTTCCATTGGCTTCAGATCTAATCTTTCACTGTGGCCCCTGGCAGCCAGTCGCTGAAGTCTAAAGATTACCAGTCTCCTGACTGTAGTAGCTTTTCTGTGACTTTACCAAAAATATTCAGAGGTTCCTGGAGTCCTCGTTCAGTATAAGGAAATTTTTGCTGCACTTTATTACCGTGCTGCTGGAACTCTACCAGCTAAACGTATTTGTGCATTACGCTGTGTCTTGTGAGCTAGCTTGCTGTCCGTGTGGAATGTCGACCCATTTGAATATGCTACAAAGCATAGTATCACACAATAACAGTCTTAGATTCCATAATAAAAATGAATGTCTTTCCTATAAAAATTGTACGAATGTCGAAGTGAGATCCTTCTAGTGCTCACTGCTTCCTTTTTCCTTTTGTGATTTTTTTCACTGACCAATAATAGTGTATTTCTTCACAGAACAAGATAACGTTAGTCAAAGATGAGATATCTGGAGTGGAATGGGTAAGCCTCAATCAAGAGAAACCGGTACCAATATGAGGAAATTCAACCTAATTGGCAAAGGTCAATGAAATGAAAAGTGCCATTTTAGTAAAGGCAGAAAAAAATGACAATATTTGAGTTACTTAAGGACAAAAAACCCACTGACTTGTATTTTTTTTCAAAAGAGGTTGATCTGAATATGATTGTTCACATTAAAAGTGTTTATTCGCCTATTCAGTTTGGGGGTTTTCCCCCTTGATGTTTTGACAGACTGAAGTGAGCTTCAGTGAACAAAAGGATCAAAATGCCAGGGAGTGCTAAGCTGTGAAGAAGAAAGTGTGGTAAGAACGGTAAGCCATAGTAGTTTTCCACAGACAAGACTAGTTTGAGGTTTCTGCAGTGGGCTCAAGTGAGCTACTGATCTTTACTTCCAGATTTGAAAGTAAAACTTTATCAAGCCATTGCCCGTTGTTACTTGTCCATTATTACACCAGCATCATAACTGTATTACCCTGCTCTCGTCCCAGGTAAGTCAAGCCCCGATCCCCACAGGAAGACTAAACACAGAAAATTCGTGCTGGCTTAAATATCTATTTTTGTTTCTTTTCGTTTGAATATTTAAATTTTATGATTTATTAAAAAATTAAATAAGATTTTGTGTCTGTCATTATTTCCAGAAGTTGGAAATGAAATTCATATAAAGCAAGTTACCTTTTGGGGAAATTATTAAAATTTCCTTAGTCTCACGCTTGTCTGAAAGTTTCTCAAAGCAGTAGAAGATGGGAAAGGAAGAACATATGAAATAAAACTGGAGAAGGCCACAAATCTCGATATAACTCACTCTTGGTAGTGGACCCCACACACACAAGGAAATAAAAATATGTTTTAAAATTATTAACGTTGTTAACTAGGAAGGTATAAATTCAGCCTAAATAAAGTAAATCATTGCTTGTCCGTCATAGTGTTGTCTTTTATTTGGATGGCCTAAGTTCTGACCATGGATGGAATTGAATTGACAGGCATCTTCTGTATCTAGAGGCCCAAAGTAGCCTGCTCGTAATTAAAGAAAGCTGACCTCCCAGTCTATAGTGTGGTGATGTATAGACCACATCCCAGTTAGTCTAAGGAGGACCCACGAATGCAGTTGTCCTGTTCTATTTATCCCCCGTCCAACTGGAAACCAGATAGGAATTGATCATTTGCTAAAAAAACAATATACAAGATTTGATATTGAATGATAGTGACTTTTAATGGTGACCTTTCTAGCGTGTGTTTATTTTTTATAGGCTATATGAGATAACTTTTTCTTTCAATTTTCAGAAACTTGGTTCATGTGGGTCATGCCAAAGAATGAGTCTCACTTTTTATTTATCATACTGTTGATATTTAGGTCTGAGGTAAGTTGGGTTTCCTGTTAGATGTGCTAACATTGTTGAAATAGAAGTGTAGAATCTTGGCATATAATAGGGAAAAAAATCAAGCGTGATGGTATTTGTAGTCAGTCCTATTTATAATCAGTGGGATGGAATCAGTCAAAATACTTATCTGTCTCTTTTGAGTTCTGTCCTTCTAAGTGTTTTCTAAATATATCCCTTTCCTGGCCTGAAAATATTAAAAATTACCCACATGGGCCTTGGAGAGAAGAGAAGTATGCCTCTTTTCAAATAATCTGTGATTGACACTTTATAATTTTAAAAATTCATTTACCATGTAGATTTCTTTGACAAAAGAATCCTTAAATTCTCTCAAGTGTGAATTACAAGGTATTTTGTGGGTTTTTTGTTTGTTTTGTTTTCAAGATTTGTGTATTAGAGAGTCTCAAGCAAGGCGGGAGGAAGGGGCAAAGGGAGAGAGAAATTTAAGCAGACTCTCCCACTGAGGGTGGATCCTGATGCTGGGCTCCATCTCACCACCCTAAGTCTACAACCTAAGCTGAAACTAAGAGTTGGGTGCTTAACTCACTGTGCCACCCAGGTGCCCTACAAAGTTTGCTTCTTTATACTTCCTAGAAGAAGTAATACTACTGTGGAATCTAGTAAGCATAATACAGTAATCATAGAGTGAAAAAGGACTCAGTTTTTAGATCCTTTAAATGTGTTAAGTGTTTAGGTTTTGAGGACTCAACTATTCTTATTAACTGAGAATGTGTTAGAATAATCCACAATGAGATAAAGAGAACTCTAAAGATTTAGGAATGTCAGTCTGCTTTGATATAACAATTGATTCTTTTGAAAGTGATGAATTTGGGCTTTCCCTCTGTGGCGTAGTCACACACACACACACACACACACACACACACACATACCCTCCCCACCCCACCTCCCACTTCACAAGGATAAATAAAACACAACCAGGCTGTTTCCTCTTTATTTGCCCTGGTTCTTAGCAGAGTGTCTAGCACATAGTTGATGCTTTGCAAATGTTTAATATAAAAAGAAAAAATTAACTCGGGATAATTTAATGACATTTTAAAATCAGTGTTGTATTTTTCTGCTAAGAATACTCACTATAAAAATAGGAAGAACCTAGTCGTTTAGCAATCAACAAAGTACGGTTGGTTCGGGTTTGCATTACTGTGAAGACTTGCTGACTCAAACCAGCTACTTTCAGTAGGAACCACTGTGGATCAGATCCTTGCGTCAGTCCACATTCATTTTAGTTGCAGAGTAGACCACAGGACATAGCTTCTGTTTCTACATCACTCTAATTTAAGCAGCCCCTAAAGCTAGAGCTATTCTCATCAAGCATCTGGACGTATTTATTAATTTTGACCTTTTCATAAATGAGTAGTTTGTGTCTTGCTTTTGCCTCCAGTCTTTACTTCTGAAAATGTAATACATTTTTAGCAAGGGAAACATGTTAGACCTGTGAGCAAGGTAGACTGTTAGAACCTTGAAGAGAAATATATGGGTTTCAGTCTTTTATATTGACTGAAAGATGTCTACCTGGTTTACAGAGTGTTACTTAGAAAATGCTGATAGCTTTTTGTTGTTGTTCATAACAGTTACCATGGTTTATAATAAATATCTGTGTGGAATTTGAGCATGAATTCCGTAAGAGCAGAGACCAGGTCTGTTTGGCTCAGTATCGTATTCCCAAGACTGAGCAAGACCTGAAACAATGGACTGTACTAAATACTTGTTGAGTAAAAGGAAGAAGCTGTATGCCACATCTCTTTTTTAGTCCAAAGCACTTTGACATATTAAAGGCACGGAGAAGTTGTAGGGTTATGAGAGCTATTTGATCCAGCATCTCCTAAACTTTTTCATTATGAGATTTTTTTCCCACAGTACTACATCATATTGAAAACTAAATGGAAAATGCTACATTGGATCGTTAGGTCGAAATGACCTAGAGTTTACAACCGAAGGCTTAGTCGTTCTTTTTTTTTTTTTTTAAGATTTATTTATTTATTCATGATAGACATAGAGAGGCAGAGACACAGGCAGAGGGAGAAGCAGGCTCCATGCCGGGAGCCCGACGCGGGACTCGATCCCGGGACTCCAGGATCGCGCCCTGGGCCAAAGGCAGGCGCCAAACCACTGCGCCACCCAGGAATCCCCAGGCTTAGTCGTTCTTTTCGGACAACTCTGTTTGAAAGAAGTTCTCACGCATTTGACTCCACAAACAAAATGTCACTAGCCTGTTCATTGCTTCCTCCAAATATGCCCAATTTTGTCAGTATTGCTCTCAAAATTCAGTCAGCAAGTGTATAGTGACTATCTAATACATGCCAAAGTATGTGCAGAGAGAGGATGCAATGGTTTAGAATTCATAATACCAGTATGGGGTGGGTAGTCAGCTGCTCATCCGTGCTGTAGTTTGGCAGGGCACATTCAGACTTGGTTTTAGCAAAAGAACTGGGAACCATCAGTTCTCTTTATAGAATGTTCAAATATAAAAACTGAGATAAGTGGTCAACGGATTGGAGACCTACTTCTCGGTCCTTAGGTGTATAAGTAGGAATCAGAGGTGAATAATTGCTCTCAGAGAGCCACCATAAAGCTAGCCCCAAAAAACCACAGAGCTGAAATGTGGCATTCTAGGAAAATAATCACCAACAGCCCCAACAGGAGTGCGTAAGGCATAGCAGAGAAGGCTGGCTTCATGGATAGGTGGTGGCACTAGCGTGTGTGGCTGGCACTTCTGATTTCTAGGGGGCTACTGTACTTGGGTGGGATGGGATGACTGTCTTTTTGTATTGTCTAGGGGAC